TTTGTCTTCAGGGATTATCTTCCTCACATTTTGGGTCCTGATGCAATGCGCAGACATATTGGACGTTACCCAGGCTACAACTCCAATGTTGACCCTAGCATCGCCAATGTGTTTGCGACAGCTGCTTACCGTTTCGCTCACCTGGCCATCCAGCCAGCTTTGTTCAGACTGGATCCAAACTACAGAGAGCACCCTCAGTTCCCCAGTGTCCCCCTGTTCAAGGCTTTCTTCACCCCCTGGAGAGTCATCTTCGAAGGTATGCCCCACAGAAATAACTGCAGCCATCTTGTCATTGTGTTTTAGGACGAAGCCCTCATTTCCTTTGCTCTCACTCTCCAGGTGGAGTCGACCCTGTGCTGCGTGGTCTGCTAGGTCGCCCTGCTAAACTGGGCACTCAGGACAACATGCTGGTGGATGCTCTGAGAGAGAGGTTGTTTGAATTCATCCAGCACCTGGCTCTGGACCTGGGTGCTCTGAACATGCAGAGGGGTCGTGATCATGGCCTGCCTGGTACGTGATTTACTTATTCCACCCTGCAGTTGGGAATCTGAACATGATCTCTGACCCAAACCTCAAAGACCCAAGTCAGTAGTCTCAAACTCCCATCCTCAAGTTGCAGGAGTCCTGCACCTTGTATATCTGTCTGCTTCAGTACACCTGGCTCCGGTATTAGCTGATCAGCACAGCTCTTTGGAGCTCTATGGACCTTTAATTCAAGTGTGGAGGAGAAGAGAAACATCAAAAAGATGCAGGACTCTGACTCTCGAGGAATGCAGTTTGAGACAACTGATCTAAGTCCTAATGATCACCAGCAAACCTCAGATACAATGTCAAGTAATAAATCGCAGACTAGCCTAAAAGACATCATCATATGCTACGCTGATGACCTATTGTTGTATTTACAGGTGTTGAAAAATTAATAACAGGAAGTTATTAAACATTAAAGTCTAAATAAAATTGGATGCTACAAATAGAATGAAAATGCTGCCCTAATTGGACAAACATTTCTTGTTTTCTCACTTTCTTATCCTCATGATTTCTATCACTTCAGGCTACAACGCCTGGCGCAGGTTCTGTGGTCTGTCCCAGCCTAGTAACCAGGCAGAGCTGGCTCAGGTTTTGAGGAATCCCACCCTGGCTCAGAAGCTGCTGGAGCTCTACGGGACCCCCGAAAACATCGACGTGTGGCTTGGAGGAGTCGCAGAGCCATTTGTGCCTGGCGGCCGCGTGGGTCCTCTGTTCGCCTGCCTCATTGGAACTCAGTTCCAGAAAATCCGTGGGGGTGACAGGTCAGTAAAGCAGAGTAGGATTGTTTGATTTCTTTTCTCAAAAGCAAATCGTAGATTTGAATGGAATAATTTACCAAAGTTCTGTAATTTTTCAGGCTGTGGTACCAGAACCCCGGTGTTTTCAAGCCACAGCAGAGGCAGGCTCTGTTCGCTGTTACACTCTCCAGAGTCATCTGTGACAACACCGGCATCACGTCTGTGCCCAGTGACGCTTTCAGCGTCATCTCAAATAGGAACCGTCTGGTGCCGTGCTACACTCTGCCTCGCCTGAATCTTTCACCATGGAGGGAAAGACCCTGTGGCTTCGGTGAGAACTTTTTCATACAAGGGACCAATCGAAGCACAGTTTTACACAATGTAATGTGCTTTTTGGAAATGAAATGAAATGAAATGAAATGAAATGAAATTTTATTCGAACATGATACAAATATAAAATAAAATAGTGCACAGTAACAAGAAGTGCATAAGAAAGAAGAGAAAATACAGATTTTTTTGTTTCAGTTAACATATCATGCTCAAAATGGGGTAGGAAGAAGTGAGAACTTATAAACTCCTACCCCTAAAAATCATGTGTATAACAATTTATTATGTTTGATGATTCAGGATTTCCTGAGGATTGTTTGAGGTCCAGTGACGGAGAGGTCAGTCTCACCTTTATTACTGAAATAATGTTGCATATTGTCAAAGGAATAATGTGATCTTTTGAAATCCAAACACTTAGTGTGGTGTTTATTTCTTGTTGACAAACAGAACCCAACCCAGACAGATGAACTGAACAATCTGGACCCGCAGGACCCACTGGATCTCCAGGATCCCGTAGATCCTGTGGACCCTTCCGACCTTCAGGATCCTCTGGACCCTGTGGATCCACAAGATCCACTGGAACTTGAGACCAATGAGGTAGTTGATTCTGAATAATAAATTCATAAAGACAGCAGTTCATTTATATATATATTTTTTTATCATAACTCAGATTTGGTTGCTTTATGAATTTTGATTATTATGTGCAAGCAATACTCTACTCATTTCATCTTCTCAGCATTTTGACAAAATGTATGTTTCTCCTCAGATCCAGTAAGACCATTCAGCGCCAGATGCCCTCTAGGATCACCAATATTCAAACATCAGTTCTGGGATGACGGCCTATACCCAGAGAGACTCATTTGTTTCCATCATAAAGAAACAAAACAAGCCAACACAGAACTCAGACACACCTGTTTATATTCCTCAGTCATTCACTCTGCACTTCTTCCATCGGAGCAGAAAGCTGGGATTACAAAGGAAATTGTCAAGCTGGCCGTCAACGTCTTCGTCTCAGGACATTTGTTCTTCTCTATGGGACAGAAACACTTTCTTTCCAGGATGAACCTCCCATTAGAAAACACCAGTGACTTGTGGGCTTTTAAATTTGTTTACGACAGTCATTCGCAGTAGCAGATGACTAGATAAAAACACACCATACCACTGTATCCTCATTTTACTCTTTATTGTAATAATAAGGCATTTTGTTAGTTTTAGGCTTCATACCAATGGGTTTTAATTGAACAAATGTGTTTGACTCTGTTACAACTGCGTCTATTTTACAAAAAAGAAAATCAACATTAGGATAATTTTGATGGGATCAACCAATATTAATTTATGAACATGTTTTGCATTAAATATTTTACCTTCGAGTATTGTGTTATGATTTATCTGATCATATTTTTGTTTTACTGCAACTTTGTTGTTTTACATTTAATGTTGAATATTGCATTCAATAAAGCAATTGAGCGATCACTGTTTTGTATGAGTTTTTTTTTAATGATAATTTATTTTTAAAGTAAAAACTTATATTTTTAAAAGTCGAAGGAGCTGAAAATGTTAAAAGTTGACTGCCTTGCACATTAATGGACATTTTTTTGAAAACATGTAGAGAAAACATCAAAATATATTCCATCTTTTATTGCAACAGCTTAATTTCACACTAAATTACATAAAAAAGTTACTCAGTTTGGGGCTAATAAAGGTTGCCACGCTCATTGGATTTTTAACCCATGACTAAGGATTGTAAGATGGAGAGGTCAGTGTAACCTTTATTGCTGAAATCATTTAATTTTTTTGTCAAAAGAATGCTGGGATAGTTTAAGACCCAAAGATGTTTGATATTTATTTCCTTTTCATAAACAGAAACCAGCTGAGACAGATGAACTGAACAATCAGGACTCACAGGATCTCCATGACCCCTTGGACCTTGTCGACCTCCAGGATCCTGTGGAAGAACCTTTAAGCAATGAGGTGGTTGATTCTGTAGTAGTTTGTATATTTTTTCCCAGCTCAGATTTAGTTACTTTATGAGGCGATAGGAATTTTGATTATTATGTGCAAACAATACTTTGCTCATTTCATTTTTTCAACTTTCTGACACATTTTTTTATTTCCCCTGTGATCCAGTGCAGGCACACAGCCCCAAAGGTCCTCCAGCCTCTGTTCACATCGGTTCACCAAAGACACACCATACAACTGTATCCTCATTTACTGTAAAAATAAGACATTTTTGTTTGTTTTAGCTAAATAAGCATGGGTTTTTATTGAATGAATCTGTTTAACTCTGTTATAGCTTATAGTCCATTAAAACAAAAATCAGCACTGAGTCAGTTTTGACTGGATTAACCAGTATTAAGTTATGACTATGCTATACAAATCATGGTAGCTTAAAAATGTTATATTTTATGCTTTGTCTGCTAATATTTTTTTTGTTTTACTGCAATTCTGTAGTCTTATATTGAATTGCATTCTCCCTCAGAAATACAGCTCTTTTGTCAATGTGAAATTATTGTATTAAAAAATATTAAAGTGAAAAATTTAAAATATATGTTTGACACACAGTACCAATACAAGGTAAAGTATACAAATTTAAATTGTGACTATTTGAACCAAAGTTAAAAAAAGAGAAGAAATAATGTCATTACTTTATACTTCAGCTGAAGTACTCTTTTTATTTATATGTTATACTTTATAGGATAATCTTCTCTTTTTCGATTTCATTCGTTCTGATTGGTCCGGTGCTTTAATTTGCAGCAAGAAATTATTTTCAAGTGGGAGTCAAAGTTATCAGAGTGTGACCAACAGAGGGAGCCAATGTTCCTCTGCCACATTTTAAAATATCACTGAACTCCTCACTGATGTTCAAAAACTTCAGTTACACAATGAATCCTTCAACCTACATTATATAATAGAAAAGAAAAGATTAATAAATGGAAAAATAGGCTTGCATTGCTTCAAAATGCTCGCTTTTATTTATAAGCTGAAGAAAAAAATTACCTAATGTGATGCTTTCTTTTGTCTTCAGCTGACCAATTTCTTTAGAAGCCAGATTTGGCAACTGGGTGAATTTTAATTTTCCAGACTGCCTGGACTGCATGTGTTTGCAAAGAGAAGAAGACAGTCGTGTGTTCAGTATAAACAGAGGTGGACATGGGCTTAAACATGCAAAAGTTACACAAGAGAGAGGTGAAGGCAAAGTCTTTCTCCCTGGGAGTAATGGGTGTTATTGAACAAGAAGCTAATCTGATTTTGACATGAAAATCTGTTTTAAAAATTGCGATACGTGTGTTCATAGTCTAGGTTTTGATGGGATTGTAAGGTATTTGATTCCTAAAGAGTTTATGGATTCTAAAAGCCGAAAAAGACAAATCTGAATTTTATCCAGATAGTCTCTAAAGTCAATTTGTGTCTAATTAATATGTAGAACAAAAGCCAATTATTATTATTATTATTTATTTATTTTTTTTTTTTGCCCAAGAGGCAAATAACTCCAGAATACCAACCACAATTAATTATGGATAATCTGAATTTAAACATAGACTCAGAGTTTTTATGTTTAGCAGAATTAATTATACTAGCCGTTTACTGTTATTATTGTTATGAATATGTTATTAACTGGGCCTGTGCCTGCTTCTTTGTGGATGTGGGATCAACAGGAGGAAGAATAACCCCACAATGTAAAGTTCGCTGGGCTGCGTCATGATTAAGTGCTCCGCCTACAGCTTTTTGGTTGAAGAAAGCATGCAGTTTGCCACGTAGTCCACCAGACAGTGTATGTGTGTCTATGTGTTATTCAACCCCCAGCTTGTCTGCAGTAATGGATACCTGTTATTCATAGCACACAAGAAAGTATTTAGATTGTCTGCTTTTGTCATAGAGCTCCAGCTGAACTTTATGTGAATGGAGAGAGGAGAAATTAGCTACTGGGAGGAAGTGCTGGAGTGTAAATCTGGTCAGAGTTAGAGAGGAAGCAGAATGTTGAGACCGAAGCTTGAAACACATGTAAAGCAGATCAGAGGAAGCTGAAGGGGCCACGGATGTTTCAGGGCTGTGTGTGGTCCTGTTTCACTTCAAAGGGGGCTTAACCTATATGTGCTGAAATTGATAAAACATTGCAAAAAAAAAACGCAGAAGGTATACATTTTCAAAGAGCTACTGAAGTTTGAGCAAGGTCTTCTGGGCTCAGCTGAAGCGAGAAGCAAAACCTTAATTTTTGTCTTACAATTCCAATCTTAATTGGATTTAGTTCTGGACTTTGACTAGGCTTTGGTCATGGTGAACAGGATCTGAATCAAACGGCTAATTTTCCACCTCAGAGTGCACTGAATTTCCAGAGAGCCCCTTCTGTTGATTTAATTATTTGGTTCAGGATTGTAGAAGCAGAGCCACATTTAAGACTGGCAGGACTTCAACCCTCTAGGACTGGAATTAGACACCCATAATCTAAATATGGATTTAAATGTACATTTAGATAATTCTCTATCCTGCTGGAAAGCGAATGTGAACCTCTATTCTGTAGTCTGTTTAATCCTCAAACAGATTTTCTTAGATGATTTCGTTCAATCCACTACCATCCACATAGCATGATGCTGCCACCACCATGTTTTAGGTGGAGATGGGGTGTTCAAGGTGACGGCTTTGTTGGCTTTGCATGCAGGTTGGAAAGAGCTAATTTGACATTAACTAACCTAAGCATCTTCTTCCACATGTTCACTGTGTATCTGAAGTAGATGTTAACATCTGGCTTAGATAAATGGATGATTGCCAGGCTTCTGCAGCAGCAAATGGCTGAGGAGGTAATGCGCTGGTTTGACTCTGCTGTTGGAGCAGGGAGACGAAAGAAGACCAGAATCGAAACCACTTCCTTGAATTGCAGATGTGACTGTTTATGGTTTTCCTTCAGCAATAGCTATTTGCTTGCTACTCTTCCATCAAGGGTAGATTTGTGAAGCACATGACAAACAGTTTCCATGCAGATTTCCTTACCTGATCTCTGGATCTGTGTGGCTCCCCATTGGCCTCCTGGCTGTTTTCTTCGCCCCGCCTGCTGTGCTCCTTGCTCTTCGACATGCTGCTGTTCACTAATTACCACTAACAAACCTCTGAAATCTTTAAATAACAGCTTTGAACCTGACAATCCAATATACACTGCTATTTAGTAATTCTGAAGGACACTGAGATTAAAGAGGGCTAAATGCTAATGTACACCGCAGACTATGTTTTAGTCCGACACATAAAGCCCTAATAACAAACACTAAAGCTTAAGGTTTTACAAAAGTTGTAAAACAAAAAGTTCAAGAAGCAGGAATGGTTTTCCAGGGTAACATAGGTGTATGCTGACTCAGTAATGACTTCAACAGCTTACACTTTGGTTTTACAATAAATTTAGCTCAAATACACGGTGAAGATTTCTCTTCCTTTCTCACGTGTCTTCAGCACAGTCACAGCTTTTCCTTCTTTTCCCTCATCTCCGATTTATTCAAATTCCTTAAGGCTCGTTCCCGTGCCCAAAGAGTCAGGAACGGGAATGAATTCCAGCGACGTGGTCTGAAGAATTGTGCTAATCCCTTACAGATGTGTCTGAATCTTGTGAGCGAATAGTGAAGGGCACAAAGTGAGAGTTAAAGAAGGGGCTCTGACATGGAAAAAGTTCAATGAATTACTCACAAAACAAGTGAATGACCCAGAACAGCTGGTTCTGTCCGTCTGGAGTCTTGGGGAAGAGGACGGATTTGATCATGAAGCACATGTTTTTCAGTCTCTGGAGGAACTTTTGGTATGCAGAGTCGAGCCATGTCAGTCATCCTCAAAGCTGAAGTATAACTGCATGCCAGCCAAAACAAAGAAGCATCCTGTGGAGTTATACGCTGGAAAAATATAAAACTGTGAGCAGAAGAACTGTGTGACAAAACAGGAAACATTTGCGAAAGAGCAGATGGTTTTTTTGTGCTGGTGGGGTTTCTGGGACTGGATAGATAATTTTTTATGAGGATACAAATTCTTCTTTACTTGTTTGTTTCTTTCTTGATCCTTAAAGTTATTGCTTTCCTTAAATAAGTGTGAAACTTTAAACCATTAGGTTTCGTCCTTATCTTTCAGCATCTAGAATTTGCATTCTGAACTTCACCGCAGTATTCAGGGAGGATTTGTTCTTGGAGCTCTATGGCTCTGATTTGTCCTCATTGTTTACACAAGCAAGAGAAGGAACGTCATGTGACAGCGGTACGGTGTGTCCTCCAAGAACAATACAACTGCCTTAACTGTAATTTACAGAATGATTTAAATGCTTGTCCCATGCAGAAAATCTGTACAGGGCACAGATTACAAGGTAGTTTGTTTTAGTTTGCTTAGTTTTTGCCTTTCATCTGCCACAGAGGGACTACGTTCTTCTAGTCAAACACGTTGGAGTTCAGATAAAATACTCTGCAAAACTAAAATTAAAGAAAAAGAGGAGAATGATATGAAAGTATGAAGTAAAAAAAAAAAAAAAAAACTAAACGCAGAGACTGCCCCTCCCTCAGTCAGGCGCCCTTGAGCAAAGCCTTTAACACCTCGCAGCTCCTCTGTTACCTCAGAGTGTTAATAATGATTCAGCTGCTGCTGGGTGACTTCCAGGTGTAAAAGTTAGCAGAGAATGTCTGAAATAAACTAAAAATGCTTAACTGCTGCTATTATGATTTCGTCATATTTCTATAATTGAAGAACATTAAGGCCTAAATGGTAGAATCAAGGAGCTACTCTCAGCACATAGATACAATTACAGGGGGGGAAAGTGATTAAACTTGTGCAGTCCTGAGCAAAAGCTTGTGCAAATGTCTGAAACTGACCTAATTTTAGTAACACTTACAGAAACGATCTGGGATACAGGCGTATTTGTACACTGCAAAAACACAACCAAGTATTTTTGTCTAGGTTCTAAGCACACTTTAAATAAGACAAAATTAACTTAAGAGAAACTTACAGCAGTACATATGACCTTGTTTTAAGTCAATCATTTTTGAATATTGATAAAAAGAACTACTTGGCAGAGCAAAACACTGCTTATACAACTCCTTAAGTTTTTATCCCTGAATAATTTCCATGCACAACTTTATTTTATTATTTTTTTTCTGAAAACCATCAAGTTAGGATCTGAATATGCATCCACATTATTCAGATCCTAACTTGAAAGAGTTAGGAAGGAGTTGCAGAAAACCTAAACTGTTTATCAAGACAATTTTTAAGAATGAAAGTAAAAATAATCCTTTATCTTTGCAGTATACTGTGTGTGTGTATATATATATATATATATATATACTGTACACTCCACCATAAACACTTGTCTAAGCCAGTGTTTATGATCATTTTTGGGGAAGGAAAGGCTTGCAGCGCCCTGATGAGGTAAAACATCCTGTCTCCTTGATATAAACACTGTACATTATTCACTGCCCAACTTTCACACAGTGAAGACTTTAGTGGTTAAATGTTTCCTTTTCTGTTCCCTTCTGAAAAAAAATCACATCAAGATTTAAAACCAATTATGAAACTATAAGCTATCTTTTGTTTAAAATGTAAAGCATACTAAATTTACCCTCTAGTAGTGGTATTTTGGACAAACATAATTTAGTTTTTTTCCCCTTTAAAGTAGCATTTTGTTGTGAGAAGCTGTGAAATCCACATGACAAGTTGCTGTGGTTTAGCAGCAACCATGGTGTGGTCCACGCTGCAGATGCTAGAAAAAAATGCCCTGGTTTCCTGCACACAGTAAAATGAAAACCTTGGATGAAGTTTCCCAACCTATGCATTACGCATCTGGAGTTATACCAGGAAGGCTGGGATCAGACCTGCCAACAGCAAATGAGTCTAATTCATCAGGGGACGAGATGTGGGTCAGTAGTCTGCCAACAAGCAGAGGCTGAGATATCTGCAGACTCCCCTTTTTCCCTTCCCTTTCACCGAGAAATGACTAATTATGACTTTGTAGAAGATTGTTAGTCAGTGTGGATTCCACGTCGTCAGGAAAGCACTGATGAAGAAGAGGCTCTAGAGGACAGTGGGTTTGTGGGAGATGGGTTTCTGGAAATATTGGAAAGCTCAGGTTATGTTTCTGAGGAGGAGTGTTGCTGCACCATATAAAAGGCAGATGTATCAAGACTCATTCTTGAAAATAAATAACGTTCAGCGCCTAGCAAGAAGTTTCCTACCCTCTTAGCTTTTCAGATTTTGTCTTGCTACAACCTCAATTGGGAATAATTTAAACTTTCGCCCGAGTTTCTAGTATTTTGCAGCCTCTAGCAGGTTTTTGTCTGAAATTGCCCTGTGTTTATCTCCACCTACCTTCCTACCAATTCTGACTAGCTGACTCATTATCAGTCACAGTTTATACAAGAAATCCCAACTGTTAAGATTTAAAGTGCTGTGAAAATAATATCCAACTGCTATAACAAAAAAACATTTTAAAATTAGAAAATAAAACAAATGTTGACTGTGCTGCTAGGAAGGAAACGACAACAATCACCAATGAAGTGGTTATGTGATATTCTGTAATTTAATTAAAGCATATAGGTCTGGACATATGGCTGAGAAACTTATCAGAATAAGCATTTCATGTCAGTCAATATTGCTAGTTATTGATTAGAGGTTTTTTTTTCTTAAATATCTGAAATACTCCCTAACAGGTGATGTGACCTTTCCTGTTTTATCCTCAGTTGCCTTTTGATGTAGAAAACTAAATCCATTTTAGCATTACGTTCTCCTTTCGATTGTTTACCAGAAGTGAAAATAGGCATACACGTTTGTTTCCTGTGCAAGATGAGATTTCCACCCCCCTCCATATATAATTGTTTTGTTGTTGTTGTTGTTGTTGTTTGTTTTTTACCTATGCTGCTGTGACTCTTCCTCGTCGTTGAATGGGCCCATTCAGCGACACTCGGGTGTGTTTCTTTTTCTGGTAAATCAGTTTTCTTTTTTTAGCCAGTCAGCTCACCAGTCAAATACACAGGTGGCTAAATAGACCTCTGAGGGCACACCGAAAAAAGAGCTGCTTGATTGCATTTTAGAGGTTTATCAACAAAAAACTTTGACATTTTAGAAGTGTCTTTTGTTGCGGTGCAGCCAGCGTGTCACTGTGCTCAGGTACAGTGGAGAGATCGCTGGCTTTTTTTTCCTGCAGGTCCGCAGAGGGATTTGAAAAGCTCCTGAAAGAAAAGCTCCGGTCGTTTAGACTGAAAAATAAACTAATTGCCCAAACGTATGATGGAGCTGCGGTGATTAGCGGCACATTCTCCAGTTTGCGGGCTGAGGGGAGCCTTTCCCCATCGCTGCTGCAAAGCATATCACTTAATATAGGCTGCTCTTTATTATCTATCATTTGTGACAAGTTTATATGGTTGTATATGTAATTTATGTTTCATAATATTTCCATAATTTCTTCCATGTTTTCTAAGTCAAAATAGCTTTTAGATTTATGTGAATTTATCATAGCGATATTGAAACCTGCCACACATTTAGTAGTTAATGTTTGTGTTAAATTGAGTCGGTTTTACTTGAGAGTATATCTGTCTCTTTCACTGTCTCGTTTTCGTTTTTTATTTTTTCGTAGTCTTTTTGAAAATCCAGACGTATGTGCTTTTCATATTTTTTAAAGGTGTCCCGCTATTTGTTTGGTGTCTGTCGGCACTTGTTTCACAGCGAATGAGCTGTACGGGGCCCACTTTCACTTAAAGGGGTACCGCGAATACGCCAGTCATTTGGGTGGGCTCAGTGTTTCTTATTGTTGCATTTCGTCACTTCAGGAATGCCGTGGAGGAGGAACCTCTCTATTAGGGGTTCTTTCAGAGGAATCGACTTGTGAGACTGTATGACGCGCTTTGTTGATCTGTTTTCATTAGTTTCACTGTATTATCCACTGAGATCAACACCTCCGTCCTCAGGGGTCCCCTTTTGCTCGGGGCCCTAAGTAGTTGCCTCTTTGCAACTACCCATATTGAGCGCTGTTTGTTTGTAAGAAAATGAAAGCCATGCAGCCTTTCCCTTCCACGCAGTCATGCACTATTTTGTGTTGCTCTGTCACTGACAATTTCAATATACTACGAGTCTATAGTTGTAAAAAAACAAAATTGGTAAATAAAAATTTTAAAAAAAGTTCGCAGGGCGCAGTAATATTAGCCTCGATTCCACTCTTTTCTGTTTCACTGCTTGTTACCAACGCTCAGTTGGCATCCTATAAAAAATCAGATTGTGCAATTTTGGTTGGTAATGATCACACGTCACTGTCGTTACATGAGCAGCAGCAGACTTGTATAACAAGATCCTAAACTCCTCCAAATGCTGAACTCCTCCTCCTTATAATCATCATCATCTTATGCATGTCCAGGCTGCAGAAAAGCAATATGAGATCACAAGGAAACACTAAAATTTAGCTTTTCACTTTCTCTGCTCTTTGAACGTCCTTTAGACTGAGACATGAAGACTGCTGCTCAAATTTAGGATATTTGGTCCTCATAATAGCATTCTTTCCATATTTGACAGATTTCCTTAAATTTATAATGGGAAGGCGCGTGTTTGGCGTATTTAGCACTTTTTACGCATGCTTCTGTTTATTTGTTGTGCTCCTGCAAATTGCTAGCTCCCAGAGAAACCCGGGAGCTCAACCAAGAAATGACCAAAGAGGTGCTTTTCGGCAGACGCTGCAGTGGTCTCACAACGGAAAGGTTTTCAGCCTTTTAAGCCAAGGCTCGGAGTACGTGCCGCCGAAGCGCAGGGGCGCAGCGCAGGAACAAGAGCAGGCGCGACCTGTCACCATCATCAGGGATGCGGACGTGAGACATCAGGAAGCCCGGAGTCAGCCGCAGCAGCAGCAGCAGCAGCAGCAGCAGCCGCCCCGCAGCCTCCTTACGCTTGTGAGAGGGCAAGAACATCGGGAGCATCTTCACCGGGAACGACCCGCAGGGAGCACCGGGGCGCAGGGGAACCGCACTGTCAACGACACCCAGGATGTCAGTGTCAGCCCGCCTCTATCCAGAGCCAGTGACATGATGGTCGGTGATGATCCGTACGATCCTTACAAGTCCATCGACTTTGACAACCCATATTACAATCATTATGATGTTTACGAGAGACCAAGACCGAGGTCAAGACCCGGATATGGTACAAGGTATCATCAGTATGGTAAGAATGAGGAAGGCGCTCTTCACGCATGAATAAATGTGTCGGTGCTTGGCAGAAAGGGGTGTTTTGTAATGACCGTCAGCACAGCATCTGTTCATCAAAAGTGTCTCCACCTTTATTCACTGAAAAAAAAACCAATTTGACCAATGAAATGAGTCCAGCAAATAAATTTATTTTAGTAGATTTGTTTATGTATAAACTATGTACTAATTAACAGATAAAATGCAGCCAATTCCATTAAGTTTTCCCTCTCAATTATTTACAAGAATGGCTAATATACGAATCTGCTTTGTCTTCAGATCAAACAAAGAAAAAAATCCCAAAAATTGTTTTCGATCTGGACATAAACATTTGTGGGGGGAAAGAATTCTAACATGGTCGGTGGAAACTTTTTTTCCCACCAGAGTTAATATGTGCTGTTCATTGGTAATGACTTTAGCTATATTCTGACAAAATGGCATTTATATAAATGTAGACAGTTCGTTGGTAAATACTACTTTGGGGTAATGAAACTCAGCTTGCTATAGACTTTGGCTTTAGCATTAGCATTACACCAACAGGCTGGGTAGAAACTTTTACAAGAAGGTGGAAGGTAATTTTTTTTGTCCATGTCAACCACAGTTAAGTTGTGGCATTCATTGGCAACAACAGCTACAGGGTTGAAAAGCTCAGCTAAGGTCTGACTTTAAAGTTGGCACTGTCACTAAATTACTTAAAAACTTTGTGCAAATTTTAAAAATTGATCATATGAAATGTAAATTTTTTTCCCCCTGACAACTACAGCTAAGATGTGTTGTTCCAAGGTATTAGCAAGCTTCACTTGCTAAGCTTCATTATTAGCAAGCTAATAGTGAAGCTTGCTAATAATATCTTTATTTCAAGCTAAAGCATATCAAGTTAAAGCTGGATGAAAACTTAAGTGGCTTATTAAAAATCTCCTAGAAAACGGAAGTAAGAAAGTGGCTCAAAGTTTAGAAGCTCATCTTACAAGTTTTACTTTAGCGTTGTCGCTAAGCTAGTTACAACACAGAGACGTTTTCAACCACAAATTTTATGCTAATTCTTAGCTGTCACTAAAGTTAAATATAATTATTCACATTACAGCCAATATAAACATATCAGGCATTCCGTGCTAAACAACAAATATTTCGAATGACTGAACCAAAAGTTTCACTGTCACTATAATCTAAATGTTTAGATAGCATTTATTACCAATATATTAAGATTTAAAACGTAAGAAATATTAAGGACAAAAGTGTAGCACCCTCAATTTTTATTTTATTTTATTTTTTTCATTTTTCAAGCTGACATTAACCCACTATCAACTTGATCTATGTTATTGATCAATAATTTCAATCTATTTTCATATTGTGTTGTAGGTCTTCCTGATCTTGTGCCAGATCCATACTACATTCAAGCCTCTGCTTATGTCCAAAGAGCACCAATGTACAATCTGAGATGTGCAGCTGAGGAAAACTGTTTGTCAAGGTATTGAGATTCGTGTATGAGGAGAGAAAAGAAAAAGTAAGAGTGGGAGTTGCTGCCTTGTCTGAGTGTGAATCAGGGAGCTCTGAGCCATAACAACCACCTAAGTGTTTGTAAGGAAGGACTGCTCAGCTGAAGCGATGAGATGAGTTAAAATTAAGTGATTCCTGCAGCTGATGGTGGAGAAAGGAGGTGGAGTTGGTGGATTTCTGTAAAAGTTTAATCATAGCCTGTCCTCAGAGAGAAAGCCTGAATGGTAAACACATTATCGTGGACTAACCCAAACAACCGAGCGCCTCTGAAGGATTTTTTCCACCCTGCATTTACACGCACACACACACCCACGCATTCACACACACCTTGGCAGACTTGGTTTCAGTTTGGACCCTGAGAGTCTGCTCCACTCTGAGGAAGAGATGAAGCAGGGAAAACATCAGTGGTGATGTCACCGTCTACATAAGAAGGTATTTTCTGTCCCTTCAATCACATCTGTTTTCTTTGCTCTGTGCCTGCAGCTCAGCCTATCGAGCGAGAGACTACGACACCAGAGTGCTGCTGAGGTTTCCTCAGAAAGTCAAGAACCAAGGCACAGCTGACTTCCTCCCCAGCAGGCCACGCTACTCCTGGGAGTGGCACAGCTGCCACCAGTGAGTAGAAAGTTTACGTCCACGCTGTCCACCTCATCATCACACAAACATTTCATAATCTTTTTTTTTTATTTTTTTATTTCTCCTCCAGTTTGGGTGGATTTTGGTTTTGCTGCTTTTTCTCTGCCTTTGTGAGTCAGCCTGTAAACTGTTCCCACCCCCTATTGTGTTCTCTCACTTCATAAATCTGCTTATTTTAACCAAGTGGAAAACTGACAGAACTTTAAAAAGTTTGTGAAGGTCATTAAAAATTCAGTGTGGTCAAGAAAACACAATCCTGTTATGTATTAAATACTAAATACAGTTTTTTTCTTTTACATTCCTTAGATGTTTTCAATTTATACAGCATTTCTTACACATAATGGCCAATGAAAGCGCCTTTACACAATGACTCAAAATCACTTATCAGAACACACACACATTGATATATAGATAATAAAATCATCATGTTGCAGAGGGTGAATCAAACTATGACCACTCTTCGCACTGAGTCACAAATCTTCTTAATCGGAATTATTAAAAAAAATTCTGACTGTTCTTCCTTTACTGTTTTAACCCAGTGGAGCCTGAATTCACTTACAATCACATGAAAACAAATTTTTTACATTCTGCTATCAAAGTGATTCTAAGTTAAATAAATACTGGTAACATTAACATTGCACAAAAGGTGTTTAGTACAAAATCTGCTAAAATGGGGTTTATTGGCCATAACTCTAAACACTAGAATGCTGCAAAGTTCCCCCATCATGATCCTTGTTTGTGTTAAATGTGCATCAGTAGGAATTGAT